TAAATAAAGTAAATAAAGTAAATAAAGTAAATAAAGTAAATAAAGTAAATAAAGTAAATAAAGTAAATAAAGTAAATAAAGTAAATAAAGTAAATAAAGTAAATAAAGTAAATAAAGTAAATAAAGTAAATAAAGTAAATAAAGTAAATAAAGTAAATGCTAATATTGCTAATGTTCAGTAGTTTGGATCAATTAGTTGAGTTACTACCCTAGTACATACGTACATGTTGCTAAACTAAAATTATATCCATATATGGCTATGACACGTATTAACAATAAACGGTCAATAAATGATATTCTGAAAAAATAGTGTAAAGTTTAAAACGAGTCCGGAGGTTATAGAAAAAAATTTAATAACGTTATGATGTAAGAAATATATAACTAGGCTTGAATCTTTAAAATATTGAAATATAAGACTAAGCAACCTTATTTATAATTCTATTTAAAATTGGTCTTAAGCAAAAATCAATAATTGGTATCCAATTAATTAAGTGGAACTGGCAATTTCTAGTTTTATTACATTATTTCACATTGAGGTCATTATCTATAAGAAATAATTTGCAATTTTGGTACAACTAATGCCTTCGGGCACAATCACGTGTAATTGTAAAAAAAAACAATAAAATGAGGAACTGAAAAAATAATGATATTATCCGGGCGACCATAAAAAGTGCAGTAACGTGATCATGTATCTAATATAGATCGTGACTATTACAGTATTAGTGCCGCTTATTTGCTCTTTCCAACTGCATATTGTAAATAATCACGTTACTGCACTTTTTACGGTCGCTCTGGAGGATTCATAGCAACAAAGTAAGAATATTTTCTAATGATAAAATAATAAACTAAATCTATAAAGCTGATTCAAATCAATGTGTAAATTCATATCTATATCTATATGAATATCTATATGACATATATGACATCAACATTAGGTAAAATATTAATACTGTATCTAAAATAATATTAAGATTATAATGAAAGATGGAAATTATTTACTACGTGCAAATCCAACTTGTTTGGTTTTCACATCAAATACAGAATATACATTCTTAAGGAATGTATCACCGACAACCCAGACATCAACATTAGGAACAACATCTAAAGGCATAATAGCCGATAAGCAATCAGTGCCAGTTACTGGTAAGAAAATTAAATCTCTGGATGGAATTGGATAATCAACACCTCCAAATCTAAGGGAAAGTATTGTTGTGGTATTGCATGGAATAGTGTACATATTATTTTGACTATCAAATACGGCTCCTGGAATTTGTTTATGAATTGCCGCTGTGTCATTTGGAGGTGCTATAATAATTGTAGTGCCTGTGTCAATTATTGCAATATTCGGTGAAGAAAACACTGGATTGCCATTAACGAGTGTATTATCTTGCTTTATTGTCCAAAATCCATTTGTACTAATTAAAGGATTAAATGTAATTTCTCCGTTACATTTACTTTTATCAATACCACCCAAAATAAAAATTCCTTTATCATCGAAATCTGATGCATGTGAAAAATGAAAACTAAAAATTGGCTCCATTTTATTTTGTTTAATTAAAGTACTGATTAAAGTTGGTGCAGCATTATCCATAGTATTCAAATTGTCAAAACCTAGTCCTAAAATTCCATCATATTCAAAAGCTGCATCAAAATCGGATACATTAGTTACAAGCCCAAAAATTTGTTTATCAGCAGTAAAACATCCAATTTTAATATTATCTATTCCGGTAATACCAGAGGCAAAGCCAGTGCCATATTGAATAGACCAAGGATTACCTTCTGGTGTAAAAGTTTGTGATTTACTTGAATCAAATCTATTATGATTTTGACAAAAAACGGCAGAACAATTCTTATTTGGAATCCAGAGATTTGACGACCCGGTATCTAAATGAACATTGAATTCTTGTTTTCCAATAGTGATTGCTCCATAATAGGCAAAATCTAACAGGACATCTTTTATAAATAAGGTGCATTGGCCTTTCTTTTTGCCTGAATTTATCTCGTTGGATGTTGTTGCTACATCTGATGATGTTCCATGGTTGGAAGTTGTTACATTAAAGTCATTGTTAGGATTTTTATAGTTAGAGTATTTATGTTCGGCTACATCCCTTATATTCTTTGCAATATCAATTGAATCTTCGTTATTGGTCGTAATAACCTTTCTTTTTACTAAATCAATGGTAGGCAATTGCTTGTGATTAGGATATGCATTTATGATACCGGTATTAACGATGACTATGGATAAGATTATAAAAAGAAATTTTAATTTCATGGTTGCTATTAAGAATGATTACTATTAAAAGCGTATGAATCTTAATTTTCGTTAGATTATGAAAAAAATAGTGAATTAACACTAATTTCCACGAAGCTTTGATTTTATTTCTTTCAAAAGTCTTTGGACATGTAAAATAATATATTAAATTTTCAACAATGCATGTAATATAATCTTTGTGTAAAATTCGTAATGTTAATTAAATATTAGATATGTGGTAACCAGCCTACAGAACCAATATGCGTCGGGATAAAGGTCTCACTAATAAAAACCAACGGTTAACATTGCCCAAAATGCTAGCTCTTACAAGGAAGACTTGCACCGTGTAATTAGAATTATAGCGACTAGAGCTCTCGATTACATCATCTCAAAAATGCCAAGCACCCGTACCAGGTTGGGATCGGATGATCGTTCGGATGATAGTCCGGATTATGGTCCTAGTCTTCGACTATTTTTTTCTAACGATAAGACTTTATTTTTCACGATCATATAAAGCAATATTTAACGCAATTTACAATGTATATACAACACATAGAAATAATACAAATAACTTGAAGTTTGACATTCTAAAACTATAACACTAGTTAGTTTATTTCTATTTAATCATTTGGCTTTAGTTCATTTGTTTAGCCATTTGGTTGGTTTTTTTGTGACGTTCTTCAATAAATTATGTACAGTCGACTCTGGATATAATGAACTCAAAATTTTGGACTTTCATAATAGTTCGATGTAAAAAAAATGCCATATGTTTTTAATAAAATTTAGTAATTTTCTATAACGAAAAATTTTTTTTCTAGAATCTTTTCTTTATAGAAAAAGTTGACTGCACTCTTTTTGTGGTTAATCTTTTATTATACCTCTTCATTTTAGATTAATATTTTTTTTCTGTACACGAATTTTTTTAAATTGATGAGGCAGAATTCTAATTTTTGACCTATTTCGACTGCGATAAGGAAACTTGTCAAAATAGATAAAAAATTAACTTTCCCATCGTTAAATATTTAGGTTTTTCATATCCTTTTTCGAAATATTCCATGCTGTAAAGAAGTTCATTAATATCACCAATGATACGTTTAAAAAACTTTTTAATAGGCATTATATGCTTATTTAGATCTTTATCGCTATGTAA